CCTGATCAGCCTGGAAGCGCGCGCGAAGCATAGCGTGCTTGGTGACGATGGCTTCAATCGCGCGAGCAACAGTGTTTGCCGCAACGTTCTGAGGAATCTGGAAGCAGACGCTTTGATTGAAGCGATGAGGTCCATCGGCTCGTAGACCTGAGGGAGCAATGTCTTGGAAGAACATCTTCTGCGCGGGTGAGAGGTCAAATGGCTCATCGGGGATCTCAATTGGGAGTTGCTCGTCGCCCATTTTGTCGCTTGCCTCTTTGACACGCAGCGCAAGTTCGGAGATGGCAGGGCTCTGGAGGATTTGTCGCACTGTTACGATGAGGCCTTGCTTGCGACAGGCTGAAACGACTTGCATCGCTGTGATGGAGTCACCGCCGAGGGAGAGGAATGAGCGACGGTAGCTGATGTGATTGATGGGCTTGTTCAAGACGCTGCTCCAGATTTCTCGGAGCTGTCGCTCTGAGGATGTTACCTGGAGACCATCTTCGACTTGGTGCTCCAGGTCAGAGTAAGAAGACAGATCGAGATTCTTGATCCATTCGGAAATGCGACGTCGGTCAGCTTTGCCGGATGAATTGATGGGCAAGCTCGCCATGGGGATCCAGAGTCGAGGAATCATGTAGTCAGGGACATACTGCGACAGGTAGAGCTGGACCTCAGAAGCGACAAGCATAGCAGCTGGTTTGTCGACGGCGTTCTCGCCATCCAACGCAGCACCGCTGTACGCAGCACCATTGCTAGGGAGACTGAACGCAGCGACAAGCTGGCCATGAACGTACAGAACAACAGCCTGGATGGAAGAGGGATGACGAGTGATGTGATACTCAATCTCATCAACCTCAACTCTCTGTCCACGGATCTTAATCTGCGTATCCTGTCGTCCCAGCGTCGTATACGACCCATCATCATTCTGCCTCACCAAATCACCAGTCCTGTACATCCGTCGATTCCTCCCAAGGTCATACTTGGTCACAAACTCCGGATCAACAATGAACGACTTGTTCGTCTTGATCTCATCGTTCAAATACCCCCTCGCGAGAAGCGGGCCTTCGATGAGAAGTTCTCCCGGCGCGCCAATAGGACAGAGACGATTGTAATTCTTGGGATCAACGACCCAGAAACAACTCGCCAGCGGAATGCCGAGAACAGAGACCTGAGAGATGTGCTTCATCGGTTGGGGAGATACAGTAGCGTAGATACTGCACTCAGATGGGGCGTAGGATTCGAGAACAGAGGCTTGGTCTTTCCAGAGGTCGAGAACGGCGGGTTTGACGGGTTCGCCCATGAGGATTACGGTCTTGATCAATGGAAGTTGAGATGGGTCGAGAAGGCCGGCGACAGTGGAAGTCAGCGAGAGAAAGTCCACATTGGCGGAGGAAATGAAGGACTGGAGATGGTTGACGCGATCATCTTCTGACGGCACGCAGACGCAGCCTCCCATACACAAAGTCGTAAAGACCTCTTGGATCGTCACGTCAAACGTATGAGAAGCGAACTGGAGCACGCGCGCACCCTTGACGCCAAAGGCAGTTCCATGCGATGTAATGCTCGTGCAAAGCGCAGAGTGTTGAAGAACCACGCCTTTGGGTGTACCCGTGCTACCGGACGTGTAGACGACCCAAGCAGCGTTATCTGTAGAAACAGTGGTACAAGCGGAGCGAGAAGCGGAGGGGAGGGTTTGGAAGAGAGCTTCGTTGACTTCGATGAGTTGTTGAGGGCCGAGATCCTTGAGGCGATTGAGCTGAGCGTTGTCAACGAGGATGATGGGGGCTTTTGTGTCGGAGAGGATAGTTTGGAGACGAGAGAGTGGTTGGTCTGCGCCGAGGGGAAGAACGATTCCGCCGGACATTAGAACAGCTAGCATAGAGACAGCCGCCCACCGCGACTTGTCCATACAAATTCCCACCATAACCTCCGGTCCAATGTTCAACTTCATAAGGTGTTCTGCAAGGCTGCTCGCCGCAGTGTCAAGTTCCCGGTAGGTCATGGTTCCATCCCAAGCATACACCGCCATGGCATCAGGCTGACGGTCTGTAACCTCTTGAACGAGGGTGTGTATACACGAAGCAACGGGTTGTCGGCCTTCACCATTGACGTCGCGCAGATGCTGGGCGTCTTTGGAGGAGATACCATCGAAGGAATTGACTTTGGCGGATGGGTTGGCGATGATGAAGCGGATTGCTTCGAGGAAGCAGTTTAGCATCTTGGCCGCGTCTGCTTGGTTGGTCGTTGATGTCCAGATGTCATAGTCAACAGCGATACCGCCTTCGCCGATCTCGACATTGATGGAGTGATCATACTATCACATGTTAGTATCTTGCTACAACATGAGGAGCGAGGTAGGGTACTTACGTCTGTAGGGCTGACACCTCGCAAAAAGCTCATCTCAAGCTCTTTGTGGCCAGTAGACTTAGGCTTCCACTCCTTTCGGAACGAAAGAATCGAGTTTCCCCATTTGTGACTCGTAGGAAGCTTGGCTCCCTTTGCCATAAGAGGAACCTTGTCATGCGCCATTCCTCGGAAGACGTCGTCTGTCACAGTCTTGAGCATGTCCAAGACTGTAGGGTCGTCTTTGAACTTGACCCGCAGTAGCAAACTGCTGATGAAAAGACCGATCGCTCCGTCAATGCCAGGCAGATCAGTCTGTCTACCAGAATTGACGTAAGAAAAGGTAACGTCGTCTTTCATGGCAAAAAGACGAAGAACAATACTCCAAGCAACCTGACAGACACTCACGAGGGTAACACCGTAAGCATCGCAGAATCGACGAGCTTCTTCCGCCGGAATGTCAACACGATCTTGAAGCGTGTGAAGACCAGCTCTTGGCTTGTTGCCCACGCCAGTGAGATACGTCTCCTCCGCATCACGTAGGTAATTCTGCCAATAACCCGCAATGCGCTCAACATCTTGAAAACTCTCTTCCTCCATGCGCACAAAGTCTGTGTACGGCATAGCTTTTGTGTCGGGGAGTTGGTTCTCGTATGCTGCGCAGAGGTCGTAGAGGAGAACATCTGCAGATCGGCCGTCGATGACGGCGTGTGAGACTTCAAGTCTCAGAATGAGTTCTGAAGAGGAGGCGGCGTAGATGTACATGTGATGAGGTACACTTCCGCTCTCAAAGGAGTTCAGCATTCCGTCGGCTTTGACTTGAGCTTCGTCTTGGAGGATGGTGACTTTGGGGTTGACTTTTGTCCAGACAACTTGGTCAAACGTTGACTGACGAGTCTCACTCTCAAGAAAGGTTGTTCTCAGACTTGAATGGCGCGCAACAATGCGAGGCCAAGCGTTTACAATGTGTGAGGCTGTCAAAGAGTCTGGTACACTCGACTTGATCCTGAGAATAAAGCGGCATTGGTACGCCGCTGGGTTCACAGCCTGACTGATGAGAATGCGATTCTGCATAGACGAGCATGGTCCGATACTTTCAATCTGCCTCGCAGGATCTTGAGCTAGATGCTTCAATCTCACATCGGGAACAGTATCAGTGCTATCAGACCCCGTAGCAGAAGCAGCATCGTCAGAGCTTGATGAAGAAGTGCTCGTGTCACTGTTCCCGACGCGATCGTTGAGGATATGGTTATGTGGATTACTCTCATGCTTGGAGATGATGCGTTCAACAAGTTCAGCAAGCGTCTTGCACTGCACTGTATCCACGATGTCGATGTGAATACCGCGCAGACGACATTTACTGAGGAACTGAACGGCCGAGAGGGAGTCTCCACCCTGCACGAGGAATGATTGGTCGAGGTTCAACTCCTCAGTGCTGATGTGCAACGCATTGGCGAGTTCAAGGTGCAGGATATCCTGCATTGCGTCGGTGTGAGCCATTGTGCTGCGGTGGTCCAAAGAATGAAATTATTGGAAGAGGGTATTTGGGTATAATGATTGCGTTTACGAAAATCACATCGCTTGAGATCTTGTTTAACTATATGATGCTGTATTCAACGGTATGTAGCTTAGGTGATGGGTGTTTAGGTCGGGCATTTTGGGTGTGAAGCGCTGGGAGGGGCTGACAGGATCAGTTCAGGATCAGGATCAGGATCGGCGCTATCGGCAGGATTGTCCCATGTGGCGCAAAGCGGCACGGTAAGCGGCAGTCAGCATGCCAACACAGTAATAGAGGGACTTTCGTGGATTAGGTTTACTGCGATAAGGGATTAGATGCTAGGCGATAACGAAATCGAGATGCAAACATGATCTGAGCGAAGGCCCGGAGATAAGCTTGAGGGAAATCTCAACTGCCGCAATGAAGCCCTGCCGAAGGCTCAAGAAGGTTGAGAAGGTAATGTGTTCGGAAAATAACCCTTTTGGGACATATATCTTGTGAGGGAAATAGCACGGTTTTGTATTATTGATTATGTAGAACATTGACGATGAAAGTGTGCGAGTCTGCTGCTTAACAGATATCTCACTGTCAACGGAGTCTCGGTCATGACCATCGGACCCTCGGTGGACTGAAATTCCCCAACGGCATGAGATCAAGCATAGTGTATCTCCTCAGAGTGGGATAGCATCACTCTTATTCCGCGTAAAACAGTACCTGATTCGTCATAACCTGCAATTATGACCATTGATCATCTCGCTCATTCTCGTAGCTAAGCCCCTCGGGTTAGTTTCACATGCAATCACGTATTCCACGGCGTGCACGTATTATCCTCGCTGTATCACGCCATCAAATAGTGCTTCTCGCAAGTATTTAAATGCTGGGTGTCCTCAGATCAAGAAATAAAGATCTTATTGTGGCATTTTAGTCTCCCAGGGCATCTAACTTTTCTTTCGGTCGCATCGTGCCATGGGAAGTCTATGCATGTCATTAATTTGACTTCACTTATGCGAAGGAATTAATTAACAAAACTCAATCTTGCGCAGCGTCGAGACTACGAAAGTATGCTATTTCCGGGAAAATTAAAGGTTGAGACGATGGAAATGCGACAGGCAATCGGGCAAGACAACTGCTTCAACCACGATTTATCTAGCAGTTGAGAAACTCCAGATGACAGTAGGTACTCTTGAGTGATTGCGAATGCTATTTAAATGGAGTCAAAGAGAAATTGACAGAATCGGAGACGAAACTACTGCATCTGGCACCGCGGAAGATATGCCGAGGACGGGGAATCAACTAATATTACTGACTACTCAATGATTCAGGCGTATTTGCGAACATCCTGTTTACACTACAGCTACAGAATAGATGGCAATCCCTTGTATGAGCAGGGAACACCGATTGAAACCACGATACTGCGCTGCAAGATATATCCACTTCCGACAGCATCACATGCGTTTTGCATTGCGCAGAACTCCAAACGGCCTTGAATCGTGCATATATAGAAATACCAGCGACACGAGAGTGTCTACATATCATTCTGCGGGGTCTGTCACAACTCATTCTTCGCTGCAGTGTTCAGTGGGCGACGGAGTCACATCTTGTGCGGAGTCATGAGTCGCTACTTGCATCGCCAAGATCAGAGTAACACACCAGAGAAACCATCAGTATATTAGAAAGAAATCAATCATCTAGTCTCAGACAACCAGCGCACCGCTATTGTGTCAATGACCTCAACGATCTATTCGGTCGCACCCTCCCATTAGAATGTCGTCGAATCCTATTACAGCTCTGATTCTGAATATGATGATTCCTCGCCGTAGTGCGACTAAAGATAGCACCGCACATATTACACGGATAAGAAGGCCGCTGGCTAGACTTCTCCTTCTGGTGCCGCTTCAGGTTGCTCAGCGTCGTAAACAACTGCCCGTTACACCCGTGGTCCCAACACCTGAGATCCTGTGCGTCGCGCTGCTGTGTTCCTGCAGTAGTGGTGGTGTTGGCTCGCTTGGATCGGGGGATGCTGCGTTGATCGTCGTCGGCGCGCGTGTTGGCTGATTGGGCCATCTCGGTCAATGGGGAGATGGGGTAGGAATTGTCACTGCCACTATCAGATCCTGTTGGTTAGACCACAGACTTTGACGTCGGGACGTGCCATCTTGGCTTACTTGGCATCGTGATCGAATGAGAAGAAATCGTCAAATGTATCGTCGCATAATAGAGGGAGTCGGTTTGAGAATACATCATCTGTTAGATCTGTCGCGAAATTGAAGTCGTCGGCCGCAAAATCAATAGCTAAAAATAATCAGTTGGTCCGTTTGGGAGGTGAAGCTACATGCGACCGCGGGGTTATAGACGGATCTGTTCTGGTACGCACCACTAATATCCGGGTGACGATTAGGTTCAGCACTGTCATTGGGGTGATCAAAGTCCACCGCGGGAAGAAGGGACTGGACACCCGCCATCCAGTCAGCAACGATTGGCCTGTCTCTGGCATTTTTCGATGGAGGAAACATGTTTGTCTGTTGGTTGGGGTAACAAGGCTGAACGATGTACTGCACAATGTATGCCTGGACAAATAATCACAAAAGGTCGGACAGTAATATCGCCATAATCTTTGGTCTAGTGCTTCGCCTTTTGGTGCTTCGCGCGAACTCTGTTTATAACGTACTCATCGTATGATGTGTAACAGTGTGTACAGATTGGGGGCACTTGATTGATAGCTGCCTACGTCAAGCATCTACATACTCGGCCGTCACATTGCTTCTCGAAAGGGCCTGATCGCCAAGCCGGGTTCCATCCGGTAGGTGTCAGATTCATTGATTATTCTGCAGAATGGGTACATGCAAATGCCTCTCCTGTCAAAACGCAGCATATAACCCCTTCGGCACGTAGTGAGCGTTGTATCGATCAAACTAGAGTTTGAATACGCGAAACCTTGGCCCCCATCAAAAAGATACATTGTCTCTCCAGGACTCTCTCATGCATGGGATGAGATGGAGGTGTTCTATTAGCTCGACCCTGGGCCTCAATGGGATTTTTGCAGGGGGAGCATATGCGTCTCTGTCTTGCCATCATGCACAACAAAGTTCAGCGGTTAATGAGTGAGATACAACCTGCCTCTTAGAGGCAAAACAAACATGGCTCCCCTTGTCTTCCCCGACCTGGTTAAAGTTGCGCGTCATCTGGTCTCTTCCCGGCAATTCGTACCAAACCTGTGGAGCTCAAACAGTGGGAACGAGTCAGACAGGCGGAGCAGAGCCGGGGATTATATGGCCAATAAGGTTACGCGGCTCTTATAATTAGTGAGCATTTCTTGGCAGAGGAAGCGCCTCTGTTCCAGAATAGCTCGAATGTATGACAATATGTTGAGGTGCTTTGTTTTCCGGTCAGCAAACAAGAAAAAAAACTGGAACATGCATACACGCACTGCTTAATAAGGCTTACTGCCTCCCTCTTTGGAGATAGGCTCTTAGTAGGAGCTGAGCCCCAGCCCAGCCCGTCCCAGGGCTTAACTCCTACCGGCGCTGCGGTCATCATGCCCCCCATACCAACCAGAATGCACGCACGTACGCTGATGGATGTCACACCTGGTGAAACAACGGAGTGGTATCCGGATATCGCGTGGCACCTTGATTGGCTTTCTACTCACCGCACGCAACCCTTGGAGACAGCCCCAGGGCGGCATGTCTTGTCACAAAGGGCTACTGTACTTACAAGCACCACCACCCCACGATTATCCCACTGCGGCGAGTCCCGAGCCTATACTGCAAGGGGACTAATGGCTCGGGACTGTTGCATCAGAAATTCCGCCGATAGGTTCATCGCGAGTTTGATCTTTTTAGTGCGGAAAGGGAAGACTATCAGAAAACGGCACGGAACGGCACGATAGGACATGATCGCTCAGAGATGGATGGATGCACGGCATTCACAGTAAAATCCCGTAATCCTTCAATCCTCAATCCTGTATTCCAGCAATCCAAGAATCCCACGCAGTTAGCATTTGGACAGCTACTGTTTGTCCGATTTGAGGATAATTCCATGTCAAACATGTCTGCGTGATGGATTCAAGAAGATAGATGAGAGACTTGACAGCTACAAAAATGTGTTCTTGATCAACCACTATTATAATTCCAATTCTTCGGACCATCGGCATCATTGACCGCCACATCAACTAAAACATTCCAAGCCAAGCCGAGCCATGATTCGCGACCTACAAGGCGTAGTTTCCCTACCTTCATGGGACATGCCCATGTCGCATATGAAAACCCATTGGTTACCCTACGCAATCAGAATCTCGAGATCTATCACACCACCGCCTTTACTAATCATCCTACTGCTAGCTGCATTATCTCCGGTGAGTTAAAAAAAACAACGAAATCAAGCCACTGCAACGGTGGCTAACCTGCAATAGGTAATTGGCTATGTCGTCTACTACGCCTTCTTCCATCCTCTCGCCAAGTACCCCGGTCCCTTCTGGGGAAAGTTTACAGGGCTCCGTGCAGCTTACCATGCCTGGATTGGGGATGTACATATCGACATGTGGAAATGTCATGAGAAATATGGTTCGTGTACCCAGCGTTCCATTTACCTCTGCAGGGAGAGACATGCTTACGTGCACCAGGTCCCTATGTTCGCTACTCACCAAATTACCTCCTTATGAACACGACTCAAGCATACAAAGGTTATTCCCTTCGCTTTCACTCTCAAAGTTTATAATCTGATGCTATATTTAGATGTCTACGGCCATAACAAGAACGTGCGCAAGAGCCTTGCTTATCTGGCCATGGTCCACAAAACTCCTAGCACCTTTACCCTGATGGATCGGCACGAGCATGCATGGAAAAAGCGGATCTTGAGCCAGAAGCTATCGGATTCAGCCATCCGATCCTTCGAGCCCAAGATCACGGGCATGATTGATCGCTTCTGCGAATACGTTTGCCCCGTGTCAGCGGGAAAAGAAAACACCGTGTCGAAACCCTTCAACATGTCAGAAATGTGTAAGCTCAACTCCAATTGGCCGCCCTTGTACTTACTGGTCCCCGCTGACAGCACATGTTGTGTTACACAGGCGATTATCTTTTCTTTGACCTTGTAACCTCCATTGTCTTTGGTGAGAACTTCGACTTGATCCGGAGTCCGTGGTACCGTCATATCCCGCCTGCGCTTGCTCGGTCGAATGAGCGTATCAGTGTCATTGTCCAGTGGCCTTATGTTGTGTGGCGTCGTATGGACAAGGTTCTCTTCCGTAACTCCGTGGCTGGACGGAAGGATTTCCTACGATTTGCTCACAACTTGGTCACTGAGAGAGTGCAGCGTGGGTCTGGGGATGATGTCTTGTCTGGCTTACTGGATGCTGCAGATCCAACTACAGGAAACAAGCTGACCCAAGATGAAATTGTTGCTGAGAGTATTCTGATGCTCGTAGCTGGTAAGTGGACAATCACCAAGACCCATGGGCTTCTACTGACACGAGTACAGGCTCTGACACTTCATCAACCCTTTTGGCGTCTCTGTTCTTCTATCTTACTAGAAACCCCGACAAAAAGGATCGTCTGACCCGTGAAGTCCGCTCCAAATTTTCAACTCGAGAAGAGATCTGTCTCGGTCCAGCCCTCAACTCTTGTCGCTTCCTCTACGCGTGTATCATGGAATGCTTACGCCTAACGCCCCCAGTTGCAGCAGCACCGTTCCGTGAGGTCCTCAAGGGCGGCATGATCGTTGACGGTCACTACGTTCCTGAAGGCACCAACGTCGGAACCGGCATTTTCAGTCTCCAACATAACCAGGAGTACTTTCACAACCCTTTTGAGTTCATGCCTGAGAGATGGCAATCAGAGGGAAAGCATGCTGGTCCTCATAACCCAGACGCTCACGTTCCATTCTCCATCGGTCCTCGTGTCTGTCTTGGTAGGGCACTTGCTCATGCCGAGCTTAGTCTTGCTATGGCTATCATCTGCTGGAAGATGGACTTCAACGTGGTTGAAAGCATGAAGGATATTGGAGCCGGCAATGAGAATGCTGAGTATGGTAGACACAGGCCAGGAGAGTTTCAGTTGTATGATCATATTACCTGTGCACGAAATGGGCCAATGGTTGAGTTTAGAGAGAGGTCGTTCTGAAGCTATGGAGATAAATCAAACATGAATTTTCCGTATCAGCCGCGACCCCTGTATCACGATGATCTGAGGCCCTTGCTAGTTCAGTTGATAGTTCCGTCAGAACCCTAAAACCGTTGAGAATCTTAGTTAGGAATGCAAGTCATTGAATCAAAACTATAAACAAGGTTCCAGTCACTGTGGCTCCGCTATACGCACTAATGAGGAGAGTTCAAACGGATCTTAATATGCACTATGAAATCTACACCGACACCTCGACTTTGCTCACTCCAATGATTCCATGTGGTTTTATCAACGTATTTCATTGGGCAAAAGCAGTCAGATATGACTGGCGGTAATGCTCAGCCGGATCATCGGGCTCTCGGGCTTTAAACTGGCAAAAGTTGCAGGGATTGCATCTAAGGACCACCAGCGCGGCCGCTGTAATCCCAGTAGTTATCGCCCTGAGCCCTGCATGTCCCGATGACGCAGTAGTAACCACCACCACGGTTAGACTCGTTTGGTGAATACATGACAAACGGATCTCCAGTCGAGTCCCAGCCTCCACCAACGGCACAAGAGTCTCTCTCCTTGTTCTGAACGGTATCTATTGGCCAATTAGTCGATGCGGTTCTTTTGTGGGGCCTGCATGCGAAAACCCTTGTATACTTACAGGCAGTATGAGCGGTGTTGTACCAGACGCAAACATCTTCGCCAGGGCCTCCGGTACAGGTGTAGGTGTTTCCAGTGTTCCAGCTCTCGGAGACTGAGAAACCTCCGCTGATCCAGCTCACAGGGGTGAGGGTAGCAGTCCATCCGATGGTGTACGAGATAGATTGGGAGTTGCCAACACTGCATGACTGGGCAGTTCCACAGTTTACAACTTCCTGCAAGTTGAGCCTCATCAGTGATAGTTCAAAGTATGGGGTTCCGACGGGGCTGTCTTACTGAAAGCTGCTTATGGAAATAATTCTGGTGGGGATCGCCTGAACCATGGCACGTCAGTAAATTAACTCACGGATTGCCATATTAAGAAGTTAGAACATACCATCGCCAACCAGGGAAGTCCTTGTCAAGACAGAGCAAGCCGGGGGATCATTGATAGGATTAGCCTCGCGCTTTGCTATGTCCGATGCCGAACCCTTGGAACTCAAGAACCGGAGAGCACCCTTGGCCTCATCCTTGTCATGGCAGTTGTCTTCGATCTTTGCCTTGTTGGGCTTCCATTTAAGTCCAGAACACTCGACAACGGTTGCTTCAGCGCTAAACTTCTTGGTGCAGATCGGGCCTCCCGAGTACTTTGCCTTGGAGTGGACGAGGTACTTGTTAGCGCCGACAGTAAAGTTCCCAAAGCCGTTCTCATCGACATCTGTAAAGTCGATACTTCCGGGGCCGTCAGAGATGAAACTCGAGCAGCTTTGGGCCAACAGGGTTGAGCCGTCGTATACGCTAAGTGCGGTTTGGCTGGATGCTTTGGCGTGTTGCCATACAATCTGTACATCTGCACTTACAGCGGTTGCTGCTAGTGCCAATGCAATGGGAAGAGAACGCATGGTGATAGAGT